ACCCCACAGAAATATCAAGACCTTACCTGTCTGTGCCCTCCACACTTCAGTTTGCAAACGCTACCGTTCCCGAGTTCGCCCTTCTGCAAACCGAACGTCTGTCCGACCGAAACCCAATCCGATCCGGGTCCAAATCCAGCTCAGCGCCGAAAATCTACCGCGACAGCAGAGCGATTCTGCGGCCGAACTCCCATGTTATTTCTCCCCCTTCCTCTGAAACCCCAAGCGCCACGACGATCTCCGGATCAAAGCGGCTTTTAGTGGGTTTTAAACACCGGAATTCCCATTTCTGTTGCAGATGTGAATGGCTCTAATGGCGGCGACACAGGAGCGGGGGGGTAAACCAAAATAAACCTACTCCGGAGATACTGGTAGGAGGGATATCACCTGGATCAGCGGGCACATATGATTGGCTCTCGCTCCGTAAACACCGTGGAAACCAATGAGGGCGCATTTCTTTCGTTAAAGGGCTTCACGGCATACTTCCTTCATAAGCAATAACAATCAGGAAACCGTAGCTCTCGGTCCGCCATGTTGGCTCTAAGAATGTTAGGGATGGGATATAAGGTTTCACTCTGGAGTGGAGCCAAAATGGAGTGTGTTTCGTGTGTTCGGCTCCACTGCCAAGGCTAGGGGGATGATGTAATCGTTTCAGAAAGATCTACCGCAGCATCATCTGCAGTGACATAAGGGCAGTTTTTCAATGAAAACCAAAATAAAAGAGTTGACAAGATTGTTATGCGTGTAGCTCTTTTATGTCAAAACAATAAATGAAAGGCCCGGTGGGTGGTTTTAGCTGAACAGTTAGTTCCATGTACTAATTTATTTAGTAGACTCGTTTATTATTATTTTGTATCAATGTATTCGTTTTATGAAGACTGTTTGCATTAGAATATTAAATAAATGAAAATGTATAATTTCTTCCTACAGTTTTTATATCTTCTGATTATTATTATTATTTTTTTGGTATTTTTTTCGTAACTTTTTTTTTTTAATGAACATTCAGTCTGTTATAATTTAGGTTTAGGTTAGTCATGATCAGTGAAACTACACCCTTTTATCAGCTCGATCGATTAAGCAGAATAGACGAATAAATAGCCTATGTTTAGTTGCATCAAAAGTAAAGCGCAACTTTGTCGCCATCCAGTGGTTTCATAAACTAATGCAAACGTTTGATGAGACGCTAGTTTGCTTTTTTATATCTAAAATGAAAATTCCATCCAAGAATCAAAAGTAAAACAAAATAATATCATATTTATATTCTTATTACATGTTATTATATATTATGTATAAATGTTTATTAACACACGAATGTATAGTTGTATTCATATATATTATATTTGCATTGCAACATTATTTTTACGACTAGTAAATGTTAAACATACTCTTCCAATTTTGCTCCAAATAATAATTTACTTAAACATATGTCGTTATTTAAAGATAATCTTCCTCTCTCAAACATGACACTTTATTTATTTATTTACTTACGAGTTCTAGGGAGTGCCTCCACGTCGCCTAATTATTTGATTTAGTGTTGAAATGTTACCCATAAACGTGATATTTTGATATAAAACGATAATATATAACAACAAATTATATAAACAGCAATATTAAATGTTATTTGAATTTTTATTGTGTAAAGTGCTGTTCCATATGGCTTTAACTGTTCAAATATTGAAAATGATCATTTGATACCATCACTCTACCATGCTTCTACACAGTAGTTTTCGTAGGGAGAGAGAAAATAAGTGAGGAACTTTTAAGGAACTAATTGTATATATTAAATGACATTTAAAGTTACAATATACAAAATATGTGTACGTTCCTGCAAAACGACACCCCTTTCTCTGATGTAGTGCATCTGCTTTCACAGTTCTGCTTCCTCTCTCATCTGTAGCCACACCCACCGGGGGTCCCACAGCGTTAGCACCACCCCTCTCCAGCCAATGGCAGCGCAGCACGGCCACTCCATCACTCCTCAGTTTCCAAGGTAACTGGGCTGCTCTCCTGAAAGGCGCTACATCATCAGCATCCGTCCGGCGAGGGCTGCTCGAGGCAGGCCGCCCTGCAGTGGATCGTATAGCAGGCACCTCCCTCACACACCGCACTGGATGGAAAAATGGAGTAGATAGCGTTATGGTGAGTACCCGGCTTCTGTCTTCTTCTGCTATGGGCTGATGCTTTCTTATTTATTATTTAAAAAAGCAGGGGACATGGATGAGATATGATACTAGCAAGAGGGTTTACTCCATCTGAAGGCAAATTGTGGAGAGAGACAGCATTGTTGAAGCGGCCTGCTTAGGAAGGACCTGACGCATGCACAAATGCTATCCACAAGGGGGGCCAAACATACATAGGAGCCTTTAAAAGCCTGGAGGGAGGGTTGTTTTCTTTTTGCAATATTGCTATTTCTGTCTGTAAGGTCAGGAATGTGAGCGTGCCAGTGTTTATTCTTAACCCTCCTTACACTGAAGCGTGGCCCGGTGTTTTCAGCTCAATAGCCCTGCATGTTTGTTTGTTTTAAGCATGTTTCTAGGTGAATAGCTCATCTGGTGCATGTCTGTCTTTTTGATGCTGCAGGGTTTAACGGTGCATGTGGGCATGCAGGCACGCCTGTGTCATTGCTTGGTTCTCTCTCCTTTAGGCGCTGCCTCGTCACCTTGGGCCCAAACACACCCTGGAAGAGTGGCGTTGCATGACAGATGCTCTGAGATATTACAATTGTTTTGCTTTCTTCTTGATAAGGCTGCATGTGTGCGTCCTAAGGTGTGGTGTTGCACCACAGGCTTAGAATTAGCATCCATGTTTAACGTGGCCAAGTGAACTTGGAGGAAAGGGGAATTTGACTTTAAATGGAAAAGTAAACATGCTCAAGTTCTCATCATATGACAATATACATAACAATATATACATACTATTCGCTATGTGGAACACCTCTGTATATAGTAAAATTAAATAGTTTTTAAGGTAATACCATATTATCAGCATATCATTTAAAAACTGAAATGTTAATTTTGTGGTACTTGGAAAAAAATGTTTTTTGCTTTGATGACATCAGCATTCTAGCTGGTATGGAATCTGATGATCGTTATTTAGGATGATTCGATTTTTTTTTGTATAAAAAAAATATTAAAAACAAGAAAACACTGCAACATGCACTAACATAAAAAACATTCAAAATATGAATAAAAGCTATAAATATAAACTCATTCAAAATATTAATTCAATCTAATAGTATGTCAGTAACACTAATACACATAGAATGGATTGTTTCATTGTATTATTTCATCTTGTTTATTATCAAAATGTGTTTTATGTATATATTTATATATATATATATATAGAGAGGGAGATAAATATTTTTTTTTCAATAATTATTTGCAAAAATATGTATTTATAAATTATTTTACCCCAATGAAACAATCACTAAATAGACTAAAATGGTAAACATATGCATTGTGAATATTGTAATAAGAATAATTTAGCTTATTGCTAGCTTATTTAAGCACTTCTGTTACGTGTGGCTTAGATATGATTGAAATGTAAAAAAAACAAAAATTGAATAATTTTTCCAAACAAAAGAGTACACTCTAAAAAATGCTGGGTTGTTTCAATCCAACTTTGGGTCAAATATGGACTAACCCAACCGTTGGGTTAAATTTTTACATTAAATTTTGAACCCAAAAGTTGGGTTAGTCCATATTTGACCCAAAGTTGGGTTGAAACAACCCAGCATTTTTTAGAATGTATGTTGGTCAAACCAATTATTTACCTGTCTTAATATAATAAATAATACAGTGTACTATATTCCCAGTTTATGTAATCGTGTAGATGTAGAATCGATAGGTAGTAATAAATTACATTTTAGATGGATAAACAACTGAAAGGGAAGAATTAATGTAATAAATGCAGTAGATATAATGGATTTGAGTCTGTTGAAGTACTGACTTTTGATTATTTTATATTTGTCCTTTACGGTGTGCTTGTTTGTGTCTAGAAATTTCTTAAATCTTCTTGGACAACTGTGTATTTCAGTTGTGTAGCTTTAGGCACTGTTGCAGTTGGGTTTTGGGAAGCGATTCCTTTGTGATCCACCCCTCCCTCTCCCACGAGATCCCTGTTTTATTATGGTGATGAGGGTTTGTGCTTAAGCAGGGGGAGACGCTTGTCTCTGTCTGTGTTTGAGTGTGGAAAGCAGGGGTTGGGTGGCGAACAGAGCCCTCTTTTCCACAGCTTTGACCCCTGTTATATAGACCAAGAATTTTCTGTGTAGCTGTCTGCTTTTGTTGCACTGCAAGCCCTGAACACAAAAATGCTCTCTAAGCTTGTTATGACGGGGACCAGATGACCCAGAATTCTAGTGTTGGGTGAGATCTGTGATCTTGAGAGCTGAGGGCACAGCTAAGGCCTTTAGCAGGGTGTGAAATTAGCACAAGCATGCTGAAAATATTGTATAGTTTAGCAAACCTGTGCAGGGTAGCATGCTTTCATGGCAGATTCTGTTTCTTTAAATATCCTGACATTGTAAAGTGTAAATAAGCTTTTTAAGTGCCGAACCCAAATGCAATTTAAGTCTGACGTGAACTACGGTTTGTTTGTATTTGAAAGCTGTTTTAAATAATGATATGTTGTTGGCTTTTTATAGCTTGGTAATTTCCCGTTTGAACACAATGTGCAGTCAGTCTGTCTCTGTATCATGTCCGCACACTTCTGTCATCATTCAAACATAATGAGAGCAGCTGTCATCTAACATCACCACCCAGGGTGTGGCAGCAGCCGCTCGGGTAATTATTCTCTTTGAGCTTTGAAATATATTTTATAATGCTTTAAAAAAATGCTTACGTTGAATTTATCACCCTCAGTGTTGTTAAATGTTTCAATAATAACGAACAGTAGCGGAAAACTGTATTGAATCCAAATCAGTAATTCATCAATGATGTTTCCAATATAAATCGCTTTTCAACAATGCTGTGATATTAGCAAGGTCGTATATTATTTTAATGTGTGTTTGATGAAAAATGAAAATGTGCTGAAAATGTACTGTGGCCGTCCAAGATTTGGCTCATCAATGGATCCTCTGGAGTGAATGGGTGCCGTCAGAATGAGAGTCCAAACAGCTGATAAAAACATCACTATAAATAATCCACATAAATTCTGTCCATCAATTAATGTCTTGTGCAGTAAAAAGCTGTGCATTTGTAATAAACAATTCCATCATTGAGATGTTGACCCCTGTTATATAGACCAAGAATTTTCTGTGTAGCTGTCTGCTTTTGTTGCACTGCAAGCCCTGAACACAAAAATGCTCTCTAAGCTTGTTATGACGGGGACCAGATGACCCAGAATTCTAGTGTTGGGTGAGATCTGTGATCTTGAGAGCTGAGGGCACAGCTAAGGCCTTTAGCAGGGTGTGAAATTAGCACAAGCATGCTGAAAATATTGTATAGTTTAGCAAACCTGTGCAGGGTAGCATGCTTTCATGGCAGATTC